GTCCGTGTACACGATAACTCGAGCAAAAATTGAGATATCTCAACGAAATTTGGTATGTAGGTTTCCCTCAATCCAAGGTAGGTTGGTATTGAAAATGGGTGAAATCGGAGAGTAACCACGCCCACTTCCCATATAACGGTAATTTCCAGAAATACGAAAACTGCGATATTTTAGTAACTACTGAAGATAATTCACTCAAAATTGATATTTACAATAATTTTTAGACGAAAAATAAGAATATTATAAATTTTTGGAAAATGGGCGTAGCCACGCCCACTTATGGTTACATGTGTATATCTTGGTAACCGCTGCACCAATTTCTTCCAAACTTGGCACAGTTGTTGGCCTTGGTACAGCATAAAAAATCGCCGAAACTTTTTAAAATCGGACAATAACCACGCCCACATCCCATATAACGGTAATTTAGAGAAATACAAAATCTTCGATAAATCAGTAAATATTAAAGCTAATTTATTCAAAATTGATGCTTGCAACAATTCTTTACCAAGAAATACGTTTATGGTAAAATTTTGAAAAATGGGCGTGGCACCGCCCACATATGATCATATATATGTATATCGGTAACCGTTCTACCAATTTGTACCAAACTCGGTATTTTTATTGTGCTTGCCAAATAAAAGCAAAACGTTGAAAATTATTGAAATCGGACTAAAATTACGGCCGCTTTTTATATAACAGTAAATTTCAGATATGCTTGAAACTTCAATAATTCGAAATTGAAGGACGCTAATTTACTCAAAATTGATACACCCCGGCTTACCATCTAGCGGTAGGTTTCGAAAGGAGAAAAAACATATCTTTAATACTTGCGCCGGGTATTTAATGTTCGGCTCCGCCCGAACTTAGACTTTCTTACTTGTTTTAGTTTAGCATTTTCGTGCGAATCCGTTTTTTTTATCATACAAATTAGCGGGGGCCGAAAATCCGTTTTTTTACAATTTTGATTGGTAATATCAAAAATATGGTTCATTATGCTCTAAAAAATATCTGTGTAAAGTGTGAAAATTTGTGGTTGTTGTTGTTGTAGCAGCATACAAGTTCAAAAAAATGTGTTCCTTAAGTAACTAACTTCGATTCTCTACAAAAAAGGTCCATATACCAAATTATGTAGGACTAATATTTTAGAAGATTATTGGAATTTTATTAATTTTATTAATTAAATTATTTATTGATTTTTATTTTTTGAGCATATTGAACTTTGTTGGACTTGGGCGAGCCTAGAATATTGACCAACAAATTTCACACAGATTTTTTTTTTTTTTTAAGCATAATAAACCATAGTTTTGCTATTACCAATCGAAATTCTAAAAAAGCGGACTTTCGGCCCACGCTAATACACATGTTCATGTCGTAAAAAAGCCCAGTTTCAAGTCATGCACTTGACTATACGATTTGAGACGTATCTTTGCCTAAATCAACATGACTGGGATTTATTAGAATGAGTTTAGGAGCGAACTAAAGTATTTAACTCTCTGTTAAAAACAACATGTGGATCTCATAATCTTAATAATGTATGTATTTGTTATATCTGATTAAATGTTTTTCTTCTGATAACCTTAATATGCAGCGTTATACGATAAGATTTTGCCATGAGAGTTATTAATGGGAAGTAATAATCGACAACTTCAACGTTTCATATAGACGAACTAAACATACATGCATACATATAACAATTTCAATATATCCGATTCGTATAAAAACCAAATTTTACCCCATTTTTCATATTTAATTAAAGCTTTTTGATTTATAATTTCTTTCTCTATAGAGATTAGGTTTAAGCAGAGTGATTGCCTGTGATAATACTACGCCCGCGATTTGAGCATATTGTGAACAGAGTTACTGATTACTGAATTTAATATTCCTCCATTATTAATCAAATCATAGTTGATTCTAAGCTGTAAAGAGAGCACTATTTAAATTCTCATTTCCAATTTTAAAATACGTACACTTTACATTTAAAATACGCTGAGCGCATGACAATTGCCTAATTATGCACAAATTTCATTCTTGACAAATTACCATAGGATTGGTATACTCGAATATTCGTTAAGGTTGGTCAAGTTTCACTCAATACCAGCATATCCCTCATTTACTTCAATACTGTCATAACTAAAAAAACTAAAAACTCGAAAAAAGCAGATTTAAAGTTTTAAATTTACATATACAGTATATCTAGTTATCCGGCAGGTAGTGAAAAAGGAATGTTATGTAATGTATATATATTTTTTATTACGTGGGTGTATCTGGGGTTTATATTGATAGACATTCACACTTATTTACATATGTATGTATGTACATACATAATATGTATGATTGTGTCTATAGCTTCATATCTCACACCCGGACGTTCTATAGTGAGACAGTATTAAATTGGCCTTTTGTTAAAACTTCCGATTCATTTATATTTTCATTAAATAAATTGGGTTGATTTGGTATACCAGAAGTAGCATTGATTGCCTTAATCAAGTTTCAAACGCTGATTCAATTGGGTCAGTTTTCTAACATATTACTGTCTTAGTTGGGCCATTATCGTTTTCGGAGTCATTTATATTCATTTAAACCAGTGATTCCCAAAGTGGTCCAGGTGTACCCTAGGGATCCACGGGAGACTCGACAGGGGTCTACGTTGGTGTGAAAAAATATGGGGGTCCACGAGTTGTAAGAGGTGGTCCACGAAAATGTATCTGGTTCGATAGTGAAGAACAAAAGTGGTTGCTTGATAGCCTATTTATTTAACTTTAATTTTTTTAGTGGTGCTCTTGACGCACTGGTGAAATTACCGTCACTTTGTGTCATCATACGAGGGGAAGTCTCAAAGGCCACCTGTAGACTAGAAGGAAGCGGATGTTGGTATAACACTGAGTGAGGTGAGGCGGAAATTGCCGGCGGCAGATATTTGAACACTTGTGTCTTTTCAATGCTACAGGATAGTACGCCACCATTGCATTTGTTGAAGACATTCTAGAGAGAGAGAGTTCCCTGATGGGGAATGCTGGTTTAATTCCAGCACAGAGCCCGCACTCGTACATTGTCGAATCTTCACTGATGGCTCGAAACCTGACTCAGGGTCAGGATCTAGAGTATTTTTCGAAATTAATGGTGATAAGCTTCACTTTTTTCTTTGGGAATATGCTTCGGTCTTCCAGGCTGAGGTATTTGCAACCGCCAAAGCCGTAGACGACGTGGTGGAAAATAGGTGGAGGGTAAGGAGTTTACGTGTCTACTGGTACAGCCAAGCTGCGCTTAAGGCATCCCAACAAACAATTAGCTTTGATATACATTTGAGAATGATTTGAAATCAAAGCCTTTCGCAAATATCAAAGGTGTGAAAATGAATTGATATTGATTTGAAAATTACAGCTTTCTCAATGAAAAGGGGAGTTTGATCTTCAATTGAGAATATCGTTAACTCTCAAATCAATTTCAAAGGTTATTTATCAGTTGCACTTCAAATGTGGAAATAAAATTTATTATAGAAAATGTATATTTCATATTTATTTTTTCTTCGCGAATTACATATGTATGTACATAACAAAAGAAACAAGATAAATTAATTTGCAATAATTTCGTCTTGAAGGGATGCAGCTTCTTTAATCGGCACAAACCAAACATCAACCACTATTTGTGGGCTTTCTCTTCGAAAATTGTTTTCTATGCATTGTTTTTTTTTCAGTTGATCTTAATTTTATTCTTATAGGCGGCATACACACCGGGCTACTACGAAACAAGTTTAAATATATGCTTTAAAACTATTACAAAATATTAGTCACCCGGGTTAAAATATACTTCAATTAGGTATAATAATGCAATATTTTCGAAAAAAAAACAGTAGTATCCATTTCTGGAATCCAAAAAAAGTGTAATACATATACATACATGTATGTTTGTATATATGTACATATGTATATATTGAGGCAATAAATAGGTGAGACTAGAAAATAAACATTTATTTTCTCGCCTCGCACAAAAATTAATTGGCACACATGGCTTAGTGTGGTATTTACCCAGTACGGCATAGCTCAACCAATTTCCTCAGAAAAAGTAATTTATTTCTGCTTAAGTAGCGACTGAATTCAAATTGATGTATAATCACTTAGCAGCCTCCTTGAGATAAATCAAATGCTTACACCTTTGATATCTTTGCAGATAATTCAATATTAGTTTAAAAAAACACCAAACTTTGGGCAATTAACTACATATAATACTATGTAATTTTAATCTGGTGGAAAAGACATTTGCAAATACATATGTGTATCACATATTTTTACATTTTTATTTATACAAAGCGCACACAATCAAACTAAATATTCGAAAGCCCATTTACATGTTTGACTGTAGCTGAGCGTGCAGAGACGCCTGCTGTGACTTGTTAACTTCCAGAAGGTCCGGGTTCGAAGCCCAACGGAGACAAAATGTGAAAATGATAATACATTTTTTTTTGTGTCTTGGAAATTTAAAAAAAAAAACATCTGGGAAGTGCAGAACGAAAGCTTACTGAAACGAATCATACTAGCTTTGAAGTGCTTTAAGCCAAATGCATTTTAAAGTAGTTGAAATCAAATGCAGGGTCGGATAATTGACTGATTCCTAGGACATCTCCATGTCAAAACAACCTGTTCATTCCAAGGAAGAAAATCAGTTCTTCAATTAGTTGTGGTGGGTAAAAAACTGGTTCAACTTCAATATTTGAACTAAATAGCTGCTTTTCGTACTGGGTAAAGACACATGAATACACGCAAGAGTCACATCTAC